CAAGTTAGCTGGAAGAGAACAGAAAGAATGGAAGACCTAGGAGGTTCAGGCAGAGAAAAGTAATGAATAGAACATTAAATAGGAGTGAAATGCTTTAAAACCATATTGCAGCAATACGTAACTACGCTGATTTTGTGCAACTGGAGGGGTCACTAGGATGCATTTGCCAAGGCAGAAGAACATTTGCCTATCACACGGAAGCTGGACTTACACCCCCTAAGTGCCTGGAAGTAGTACTTTAATCTTTGGTCTCCTGAGCGTGAGGGAAACAATGGAAAGCAGCAATTGTATTTATTGCTACGTTGGCTTTCTGGGAGTCTTTTGGGTTGTGCAGAGCTGGGCTGGGTGCTCCACAGTGTTGACTGAGTGGTCCAGACGCAGTCTTTGGTTCCTCGCAGCTGGGTGCTGGATGTAGGCACTGCTCTGTTCCCAAATCGACAGGTGGGGTCTAGAGGGTAGACCAAGAAAAGCCAAGCTCGCTGCAGTGGATTGTAACTTTGTGATTATTTGTCAGCTTTGGCTAATTAATTAATTGCTAATTATTGTGGCAGAAGCTTTTAAGTGTTCTGGGGCTATGGGCAGATTTCAGATTCTGCTGCATGTCTTCTTTCATTCTTGACCTGGTGAGATTGATCCAGTTGTAACTTATCACTGATTCAGTATGCTAAGTCAGAAGTAAGATTTTTGTCAATGATTTGGTCTACTGTAAGGGTCAAAAAAGGGTAGCCTTTTCTAAGGGGAAATGCAGAAGCCAAAAAGAATTGCGCTATTCTGTGCATGAAGAATATATCTTATGTTCCAGAACACTGCTGCCCGTTAGCTTTTTCCCTTAGAACATCCTCAGAAAGGTCCTAGATTCTCCACAGATGTCACCAAGTTAAATACTATCTTTTTTGTTTATTACGTTTGGAAGAGTAATACTTGCATTACCCAGGTGTTACACCACATATGCAAATTTATGTGTTCGGTGGTTTTCTTCTGTGTATGCATTAATACTTGCCTGGAAATTAAGGTGTTTTTTTTCAAACTGAAGATCTGGTTTTGTGTGCAGTCTTCAGTGCTGATAGATCACTGGGTGGTCCTGTAAGCTCTTTCGGGGTGAAGACCAAGTGTAGTCACTGAAACAGCTGGGCTTTGTGGCTGTTAGTAGCTTTATGCTCATTTATTAGTGCGTATATCAGAACAGGGGTATTGGAATGTTAGGAAACTGGTTTGTCTACTCCGTGTATCTGACTGCTGTCTGCTGCTATTATGCCAGCTACAGGTTTGGCATTTTTCTTAAGCATTTTGTATTTCACATTTTAAATATGCTGAAGAGTAAACTTCTACCTAGTGTCAAGAGCCCTAGGTCAAAATACAAAGAATTAACATAAATTTTCCTTTTCCATAGTGTACCTTGTGGGCTTGGGCAGACCGCGTGCTCTTTATGCTACCTGTAAAATGGGTCGAAAGGTTTCTTCTGTGAGTGATCTGATTTCTACCAAACAGAGACCTGACACTTCCCCAGCACAGAGAGGGGAACTCCTTCCACTGTCTAGGAGAGCGTAGGGTACCTTCAGCTTTGTTTACCGTGAGAGGGTTAGCTATAGCAGCAGGCTTTCTGAGGGACTAGACTGAGGATGCAGGCTTTACTGCTCAGACCGATCTGCCCAAGGGTTGCCTGATGGCGTAATTATCTGAAGACTGAAAAGAGCATCAAGGTGGTGAAAGTTCAAGGTGTAAATTGGCATCTTTGTCCTTGTGAGTTCTGCAGGAGGCTAGGCTCAATTCCTAAGCAGGTCTTTAAGTCCCCCGATGGCCTATGCATGGAGTTTCTGGAGTGCAGAAAAGCCCATTTCAAAGTGTAACTCGTGACCACCTGGGAGCTCTGAGCATTTGAACTCTAAATCATAGGAGGCCTGGGAACACAGCTGGTTTAAGAGTCAAAGTGAAAACATCCTGCTGGTTCCTGCTGTACAATAAAAAAGCATGTCTAGCTGAGCGTCATTTGGCAGCCTGCTCTCCCTGGAGACCTGGGATGAGAGGGAAGGTGCAGTCAGGTGAGGACAAAATTCCTGACAGCTGTTCACTGAAATTTACTTCTTGCCTCGTTATTGCCTTGCTTTAACTGGATTATTTATTCCTTGTATGTGGTAATTTGGGAATCAAGAATTTAGGAATTCCTAGGCCTTTACTTGGGGAATTTTCTGACTTGGACAAACCACATAAATCTCTCTCTGTGCCTATAAGTAGGGACAGTATCCGTTTAGGTTACAGTAATGTTGTGGGCATTGGTTGCTTAAAAACTGTAAACATCAGGGAAACATTATGACTAACAGATATCTCTCTGACCCTATGGGCTGGCAGCACAAAGCTGTTCAGACAAGAGGAGTTTTGGAATCTGTCAAAGTTCCTATAGCTCTGTGTGTGTGGAAGAGCAACCCTGCGAGAGAGGAGGAGTCGGGGTGAGAGCAGGGCTGCTGAGCGAGGGTCGTTGTGAAGTGCGTATGAAAAGAAAGCTACAGCTTGTTGTGCAACTAACTTGGAGAACAAGAAGAGAATGAGGGGAAGGGAAATGGCATCTCCTATCCAAATACGAGAAGAGATTTGAGGTTCATGTTTCTGTGGACCAGAAGTGTCATCAGAACATCTCTGTTACCTATAACTCATTACAAGTGTAATGATTCCCTGATTATGATAACCTGCTTTGTAAACGTAGCTCTCTGATTCGCATAACTCTTTATTTTGAGCTGGAATGGTTTGTGGGACCTCCAATTGAAATGCAAATTAGCCCTAGATGTCTTTTCAATTCACACTTCTTGGAAGAAGTGACACAATTCTCGAAAACGCCATAATGATGTTTCTGTGACGTGCAAGCTCTTCATTATACACATAGTATAGCTAATCTGAATCATACCAACATGCTTATGGTCTGCCTGAAAGTGTAATGTAGGCAAGTTGCACAGCGTGTGAAATTTTTCACTGAATGTGTGATCTGGTGATCTCATATAAAAACAAAAGTTATTTTTCCAGAGAAGGGAGAAATATGGGGGCGGGGGGAGGGAAGGGACCAAGCAAACTGTAGCAGTTAATGAACATAGGCACACCAGCTCTTAAAACTTTGGGATATTTTTTGCTTTTAACTTAAAAGCCCAATCCCTATCTAAATACAGGTTTATTAAAACAAGTGTAGCAAAAATTGTTTCTTTATCATGATTAGTTGCATAGTGAATAGCAGCAGCTGACTCATTTCCAGTTCTGTTCTGTAATAATTGTTTTTTGCTTTCTGAATGTTCAAATTGTAAATTTTCCTATTTAAAAACACCTATTTTCAAGTTCTTAACTTTGAAACAGTGTTGCACTGAAGTCTTCTCACCCATCAAATGATACAAAGTATCCATAAAAATGAAATGCTCATTCTGTGTAGCAGTTAGGAAGCTTTTTTTTCTGATTTTAAAGAGGGTGTTTTTCAGAATATGAATAACAAAAAAACCTCTTATTTTGCAGCCCTAACGATTTTCTTCATGCATTAGAATTTGTTGTAGTCATGGTCAGAGAGCACTGTAGTAGGCACATCGAAATGTACGTAGCACCTCAAAGAGCTAACAGTCTAAGTAGAAAAGACAGGCAAGAGATAGGAGAAGACTTCAATGCTATTCCTGTTCTGCTGTTGAGAGAACTTGAGGAGCAATGAGCATTGGTGGGTTACTGGGGGACGGTGGCTGGTATGTTGAGGTGAACTCTACAGAGACTTGCTCTGACCCTTCAACCTCTGTACTGCTATATCGCGGTGTTATTGTTTGACAAACAGTTCTATATTGTACGGAGCGATAATGGCTGTTTGTAACACAAAACAGCCATGTAAGCAGGATTAAGGTTTAAGTGATAAATTTAGCATACCCTAAATAGCAAAAATGTAGGATATTGGGACGTTAGATCCATGCTGTTGTATCTTAAGGTCTCGGTGGTCTACATACCGCATGTTGCTGAGGCCCAGCAAAGGAAGCCTTGTATTTATGAAGGAGGTGAAAGTAAACGAGGTGTGACTCATCTTGAGGACGTGCTTTTCCCTGGACTAAAACCTATCTATCGTGTCCTTTTGCCAGTTGAATCCTAGAGCTTCCATGTACACATGGAGGACACCAGCCAACACGTATTTCTCTAATGTGCAACTGAATTGTGAAGAGTTTCAGCCTTCCAGGAGCTGGGCTAGCATCGCTTGACTTGTTTCCACAAACCCTTTGCGCTGGCACTTGGAGATTACTGACCTACATGATGTTACTGTGAAACACTTTCGCAGCATTGACAGAGAACTGTCACCTGACAGCTGGTGCCAGGGGTAGGAGGTTAAAATCCTTTATTACGTGAAGAAACTTCTGCATCTAATGCAGAGCTACTGAGGGCTCGTCTGTCTGCTTACTTCCAATCTTGTCACATTGATGAAAGCGTAAACTAGAGGCAATTCCTTTGGCAGAGTGACTGAAAGTATTTGTGTAGCCATTTAAGTTGAACTATTCATACAGTCCCAGTAGCTAACTATATGAATAGTTTTCCATTAATACGAAATTCTGGTGTAGGACTCCGTGTGTTTGGCTTTTTATTCAAGCTGATGATGTTTGTTTCAGTATAAGAGTGTGTTAGGCACGGTGGAAAAATCCAGAATGAGCATCCTAAGGAGGACGCACCCGGTACCGAGGTGAGCGCGTCTGCCTCTCGGGGGTGAAGCCCGCCTGTAACCTACTTCAGGGCAGGGAGACCACGTCCCCGTATGCGGTGCAGTGCCTCCTCGTGCTTATCTGAAGTCTGCTTCTGCACTGAGAGCAAAGGTGGGCTCATGTTTGATCAGCTTTTAGCCTACCCCTTGTTTTTCCCCTGTCTCATTCCTGTAGTAGGTGAGTGAGTAAGGGGAAAAAAAAAAATCCCAAACCACAACAACCCACCAAAAAAAAAACCAACCAAATCCCCAAACCAAACCATAGCAGAACGAGATGCGAGCTGCTCTTGTCTGTCTTACTCCGAAGCTTTTTACATCTGAAAATGATCACACTACTTCAGAAACCAGGAGTTTTCCAACGGTGATAAACCAGATTCCAGTCTGCTTGCCTGAACTGGAGATTACTGCTGGCAGAAACTCGGCAAGAACAAGCCGAGTTTTCGACCCTTACAGTCGAGAGCAGAACTGTGTGACACAGTGACTCGCTTTTATGACTGTCCAAAGGCTGTCCTGACAAACCTGTTCCCTCTCCAAGGCTTGAGCCCCTTCAGCAGCTTCTGTGCTCGCTGTTGTAGTAACCCTGTGCGTGTGGATGGCTGTCACTGAGAAGAAGGGAGTGCATCCATGCGGCTTTTGACTTTACTGAGACCTTGCCGCTTGCTGCTCCTCTTCTGCCACGCCATGGGGAGCTGTGAACGGAAGCCTGGCAGGGCAAAAGTTGGTTTAAGAGAAGCAGAAATATAGGTAAAAATAGTAAGTGTACAATTCTCAAAAATATATTGCTGAGAAGGAGAAATTAAAAGAGGGAAAGATAGCTGTAGACCCTTGGGTTTTTGCAGCTTGCTGCTGAGCAGATCTTCATGAGCCTGCACAGACAAGTGGCTCCAAGAACTGGAGGCACAGCTGAGGCAGACACAGGAGGAACGAGCATCCTGCACCCCCTTCATCACCATTGAGAAACATCTCCTTCCAAGAACTGCACTCATACCAGCACAGCAGGAACAGAGATCCTGCCATGGTGAGGCCCCATCCCACCAGCAGGATACACCTGGCAGTGTCACAAAGGTGCCAAGAGATGGAAAAGCATTATTAAAAGCACATGGCCTCAAGTTGCATCGGGAGAGGTTTAGATTGGATATTAGGAAAAATTTCATTACTGAAAGAGTTGTGAAGCGTTGAAACAGACTGGCCAGGAAAGTGGTGTCACTGTCCATGGAGGTGTCAAAAACCATGTAGATGTGGCACTTGAGCACATGGTTTTGAAGGCATCGTGGTGTTGGGTTGACGTTTGGACTTGATGATCTTAGAGGTCTTTTCCAACCTTAATGATTCTATGATTCTATGATACGCTCAAATGCTAACATGTTTAATGCCAGCAGCAGAATATTTACATTAAAGGACATGGAGCCAAGTTAACTTCAATTGCAACTTTATTAACTGGATTACAGTATTATCAGCAAAAACCAGCTGTGATAATCAATAGAATGATCTCTTACTTTTTTCCCTCTTTAATTTAACAGGCTCAGGCAGATCTGCCCTTGTTGGAAGCTGGGCTCTAATTACTATCTTAAGCCCTCGTGCAGCAGGGTAGAGGGGGTTCCAAGAGGCATTCTGCTTGGACCTGAAACCCTTGAGAGGGAGGGATAGGAAGGTAAGCATATCCAGGATTTTATTCCATACTCCCTCCCTCTTGTCAGGGGACTAGAACATGTTACCTGCTTTCTTTTGACAATGCACAATTTAGCTATATTAAACTAACCAGTGGTTCTGGAACAGAGATTTTACAGGTAAGACTGAGGCAGTTGAGTGGATTGTCCCCGAAAGGCTGTGGATGCAAAATATCTAGCTGTAGCAAATGCCTCATGAGATTTCCACCTCTCAGATTAGCCTTGCAAAGATTTACAATTATGATTGTATAACTAAACCAAGGGCATTTTGATAGAAATGGCTAACGGAGGGATAACCAGACTGAACAAGTCAGCAGATCTGAGGAAGTGTTAACTCTGAGCAGGGCGTGGCATGGACAGTTAGTGATGGACGTCTCTTCTGCTCTGCTGCAGCCAGGGGAAATGGTCTGTTCATAGACGTCATCAGAACTGGGACTGTAACAAAATCTCTGTGCTGGGTTTTAAACAGTAATGAACAGGTTGTTGCCGAGGGGAGTCACAGTTAGTGGTAGGATGATGTGACGGTGAAGCTCAAAGTTTGAATAAGCATTCAGCCTTCAAAAAAAACCAAACCAACCAAAACCCCTAGCAACAACCTCAAACCCTGGATGTTCATCATGCCAGTTTGGAAAGAGGATGAGAAAAGTCTTTATTGTTACAGTTCCCCTTTCCATCTGAAAAACAGAACCATCTGAGGAGCACAGAAAGGAGAAGTTCAACGACACTTTTATGGTTTGTTTGTTGGCAAACACTATGCCATTTTTTTCTTTCTTTTTTTGTTTTCTTCTTTCTTTTCTTTCTCTCTCCTTTGTCCTTCCAGAGTTGTTAATTCTAGTTAGGCCCATTCCAGATAATCTTGAAGAGGGCTGGCAGTGAGTTAGCATCATAGTATGATCCAGCCACAAGTGACTTCTGCAGAAGATGGACCTTCGGCATCCCATGTATATTTTGTGTGCAGTATGGCCACCCTCAGAGGAGCTCTGCCTTTTTGTTGAGATAAGAAGGCAGCAGAAGGGGCGCACAGTGGAGAATGAAAAGCTGAGAAAGTTACACAGAGGAAAAATTGATCTCCCACATGAGATTAGGTAGCAATAGAGCTGTAGACAGCTTTCTGCTTGCTGAGCTGATGTTTCTGAAGCCGGGGGTGGTGGGTGTTCAGGCAAGGTGGGGGCTTTTGCACTCATTTTTGGAGAGCACAGATTTGTAGGAGTGTTGGAACTAGAGTTGTCTGGGCGCTGAAGGTGAGAGGAGGTGATACACACCGTGGAGACGATATATATGAAAACTAGAGAGAGATTAGGGTTCTGAGATGACTGTGGAGATGAAAGAAATAAGTGGATTTTTTTGAGGAATCTGTTTTCCCACCTTGTGTGTTAGTGCTCTAATTTTATGTTTGTGAGCAGGAGCAAGTGGAAGAAGCCCCTCTTTCCCGTGTTTGTTTCTCAGTGCCCATCAGCTTGTCTGTATCTCTCAGCCAAACCCTGTGACACACACTTTGACAACAGCAGCTTGTTTCTCATTGTGAGTATACAGTCAGACTGTGGTGATGCTTAGAAAGGGATTATACAGATGGTAGCCTCAACTTCCCCAGTTATTTTAGGCCCCAACCACTTCTGAAAGGAGGGTGAGTTTAGGGGGAACAGTTGGTTCATTCACTTCTTAAAGCTATCGAGCTTTCAAGCCATCTTATGTTATTTTCCTAGTTATGGTGTCTTCTCAAGAAAAGGTTCCATACGATGCAGGCACTGACCCAAGAAGGAAAACAGTAGTTGGAAATGTCAGGAGGAACCGAAGGAGTACTTCCATGTTTGCAGAAACTTTAACATTTGGTCATTCAATTACCATGGTTTTCCAAATTTTTTTTAAGTGTTTTTTTTCCCCCTGTATTCAGTCACTTGGTCCAATTCCTTGTAATGAGTTAGAACAGACAATGTTTTTTTCATTAATGTGATCGCACGTGGAAGTTGGTTGGAAAGCATAGTTCAGTGGTGCAGGCAAATGAATAGCAGCTCAAACTTTAAGAAAATACGTCTGGGGGGAGGGAGCTGCATAAAGATTAAGTTAAAATGAAAACGTTATCCAAAACAAACAGCGGGCTTAAGTCTGAGTTAATTTTTCCTCTTGAAGTAGCTGGAAAATTGTCTCTTGCATTCCAGATCCCAAATTTAAAGTGCAGTCATGCTTTGTGAAACTGAAGACGTATTACAGATGTTGATTTCTATATGTGATTTAGTGGTTATAGCAAGTGGCAGATTTATGGCATCAGGGCTTTCAAGTTTTATTGCAGACCGAGTCATTTGGTGACCTTTGGGTGACTCTTGGTTAAACCAGCTACGTGCGGAGCTTGGTCCTGAGCAGCGAGGAGCAGCTGCAGCTCCCCTGGCCCCCCCGAGCCGGGCCACGGCACAGGCAGAGGGCAGGGGCTGCCCCGTAATGCCCAGTGCCCCGCACTTCTGCCCGCCATCGGCACGGGTAGCCCAGCTGCCGCCGTCCCCACCGGGCCCCTTCCTTCCCTTCCCTGCACTTCCCTGCCCGGCAGAAGGGGCCAAGGGAGTAACCACAGAGCTTCTCACCCTTTGCAAGGATGGGGAAGGGGAAGCGGTGCAGCATGTTGGCTCAAGGGGCTGCTTTCCTGGAAGCGTGCTGCTTCCTATGGAGGTGTCTGTGGAGATGGGAGCTGCTCTTGTTTCTTTTTCTCTCCCCCCCAATGCAAGACTTCTGGTTGAATGCCCCAAAGTTTGCTTTCTTGATGTTGAAATGAGTTTGTGACAAATGTTTCAATACCCTGAATGGAAAAATGCCGTTTGAACCTCTGGAAGACATACAGAGGTAAGGCAAGAGAAAAGGTAAGGTGAGGAGCATAGAATCATAGACTGGTAAGGGTTGGAAGGGACCTTAAAGATCATCTGATTCCAACCCCCCTGCCATGAACAGGGACATTTTCCACTAGACCAGGTTGCTCAGAGCTCCATCCAACCTGGCCTTGAACACTTCCAGGGATGGGGCATTCACAGCTTCTCTGGGCAACCTGTTCCAGTGTTTCACCACCCTCATGGTGAAGAATTTCTTCCTAATATCTAACCTAAGTCTGCCCTGTTTTAGTTTACAGCCATTCCCCCTTGTCCTATCACTACACACCCTTGTGAAAAGTCCCTCTCCATCCTTCCTGTAGGCCCCCTTCAGGTACTGGAAGGCTGCTATAAGGTCACCCAGAAGCCTTCTCTTCTCCAGGCTGAACAGCCCCGACTCTCTTAGCCTGTCCTCGTAGGAGAGGTGTTCCAGCCCTCTGATCATCTTTGTGCCCCTCCTCTGGACCTGCTCGAACACATCCATGTCCTTCTTATGTTGGGGGCTCCAGAGCTGGACGCAGTACTCCACATGGGGGTCTACAAGGGCTACAAGGATGGTGAGGGGACTGGAGCAGCTCCACTACGAGGAGAGGTTGAGGGAACTGGGCTTGTTCAGCCTGAAGAAGAGAAGGCTGCGAGGGGACCTTATAAATGCCTACAAATATCTGAAGGGTGGGTGTCAGGAGGATGGGGCCAAACTCTTTTCAGTGGTGCCCAGTGACAGGACAAGGGGCAATGGGCACAAACTGAAGCACAGGAAGTTCCGTCTGAACACGAGGAAGAACTGGGGGGGTTGGACTAGATGATCCCCAGAGGTCCCTTCCAACCCCTACTATTCTGTGATTCTGTGATTCTGTGATTCTGTCTCACGAGAGCGGAGTAAAGGGGCAGAATCCCCTCCCTCGACCTGCTGGCCACACTTCTCTTGATGCAGCCCAGGTTACAAGCACTGACAGCTTCATCCG